ATCTTAGTATGCCATTAAGTTTTAGTCTGCATTTATCAAAATCCAAGGGGAAAACAGCATGAGAAGAATGTTTTTTAAATATGAAATATACAAATTTCCCATGATATTGTTCTCCTCTTCTCAAAATCCATAAAACTCTCAAATAGCAGCAATTAAATTTTAATAACCCATCCAGTATCAACTATCATCTCCTTGAGACATCTACATATCCATCCATCCAACTATCATAACGAATCTACTTGAGTTTTATGAGATTTTTTGCTAATTTTGCAATTTTTATACATAAATTAGCATCTCAATATAAAAAGCTATTTGCATGCATGAAATTTTAATTATGATTATGAATAAATTTCTAAAAGTGTGATAGACGCTCACTTCATAATTACACAAACACTAATTTATGATGCATAATATTCATAATTGTTTTATTTTAAGATGATATTTAAATTTTGAAGGGGGTGGGAACCTAAAATCAGATTTTACAAGCAATTTAAAGTTTCACAATGTGGAACAAAAGATTTAAAATTTCTCAAACTCAATGCATAGCAAATTCTGCTCACATTTCATGCTTTAACAAAACTTTCATTGCCATTTGTAATTAAATTTCATAAACTTTCTCATAAAATTTTCATAGCTTACAAAAAATGAAATGCAATTTAACTTTAAATTTATGCCTAAACCATATTCTAATTTTCAGCAAACAGAATTTATTACTGCCTGCTTCTCAAACATCAGGAGCTGATGTTGAGATGAAGTCTTTGAGATAAATTAAAAAAATAAAATTATGTGATGGAATATACAGTAATACATCAACATCATTCAGTTAGCTTAACACAAAGTATGTATTATGCTAATTTTCATGTTGAATTCACAATTACTTCCTCATATGCTCAACTTTCTACTTTTTTTTCGAATAATAAAATAAAATAAAATAAAAGAAAGAAGGCATCAGGTGAAACTTTTCCGTTAGGTGAGTTTTGGCAGATTCTTGAGACATAACCTGTGAGAGTAAGATCAAGGTATTGAGGTCCTTTATTATTGGCATCGTTAATCATAAATGAATTTAAAATCAAGCTAAATTATCAAATTTTTTGAAGTTTTTAAAATGAAAATTGTAAACTATGTTGAACCGCTATAGAGGTAGCTTGATAAGATACTAAAAAGGCCCAGATTCTCTTAAATTTCACCACACGAGTGAGTTACATGCCAAAAGAGTTTTGATCAATTTTAAGACTAGTTTATTATTCTAGCCATGATAAAACATTTGAGAGACTTCCATTCACCATTCGGTGCCCGAAAAAATCCTCAAAAACATCCCTAAGCATGTTGTTTTGTGCATCAGGTCCGTAAGATTTCTTCGAATCTTTTAAATTTAATAATCTAGGTCTTTATGATCAAGTGCTGGATGATTATTCAATTCATTTAAAAAAATCAACAGCTTAGATAACCAAACCACTCACAGATGATCATTACTATGAATACAGACACCCTCCTTCACAAAAGATCTTCAAATTATCAAAAAATATTCCACATACGTGCTATTCTATTTATATAGTCCTTAAAAACACCTCAAAACTATGCTTAACACTAATAAAATATTCATAAAATTTCACACCTGAATTTCCATCCATTAAATTTCAATCTAAAATGTTCTCAAGATTCATCAAAGGGTCCATTCTCTATCAGGTTATTATGAGCACACAGAGAACAATTTTTTTTTCGTCACGTATGAAAAGGAATGTTGCTCATGTGCTTTTGGCAACAGCAAAAAAAAATAAAAAATTCTTTGAGGAGTAAAAGGAATTTTTATGAGTATATAATAAGGAACAGAAAGGAGCTACTTTTTTGTGGTTGTGGCTTTTCCAATTTTTTTTTCGGATATTATTATTGTTATATATTTAATACGTTACATGATGAAAAATAAAATAGATGGATATGCAAATTTTATTCATGGAAAATGCTCTTCATCGCAGGCAATTTAGTTACTTCTCACACATGCTATTCACAAGCACACACGAGACCCATTCCATCTATCCTCATTGATCAATTTCAGTATTCGGCAGTAACTGGCAATCCATTGTTGAAATGTCTAATATGGAATATTGTCAGCACTTCCTCCTAGATTATTATTATTATTATTACAAATGTAACATAATTTCCATGCAAAAAGGCACTTTGTTATTGTAATAAAGAAATATTGAACTCATTTTGCTTGTTTGTCGTTTATAGCTATGCTTTTTCATCACTCAGACGTGCTTTCATTTTTTTGTGCTGCTTTATCTTCGTGTGCTTTGAATTCTTCGTCCATAGGCTCGTATGAATTTATATTTACTATTCATTGATATTAATTTCATCATTTCGATGTCATTTACTTTTTTGAACGGTTAGAAGATGCTTTATCAGACGGTGAGAGGTTCTTTAGTTAAGAAAATGTGCTGAAACTTACTGGATCTTAATGTATTGAAGCACTGTCATTCATTTATGATGTCCAGGAAGGAAGAAGCACTAGAAATCTAATTTATTAATGAGTGTCGTAAGAAATAGCGCTCTAAGGTTGACTGCATGTGTTAAGTCATACATAGGATGCCTTGAAACTCCTTTTGTCGCTTAAAACCTTCAAAACTACCTGCCATTTCAACAAAGATCTAAATTCAGTGCTTACAAAAATAAAATATATTTTTATAGATCTCTATATCACCAACCTTCATTTCTTAGAACATTTAAACCGCCAACAGCGACTGCATTCAAATGAAGAATACGACGCACAATGTTATTTTATTTCCCAACATATTTTTTCTTAGAAATTGACATTGTCGTCCTCTTATTGGCATCTTTGAGGATACACAAGAAACATCTTTTCCATCTTAACAATTTTTTTTTCATTCCTTTCCTTTTGAGACTTGTCTTTTATGAGTCACGTATTAATTGAACGAACACACTCATTAGGTAATAGCCCTTGACAACGATAATGATGAGACGATATGGTTAATGATTGTTAGAAAATATAACATAATCACGTAATTGAAAAGAAATGGAAAGGCTTTGCAGAACAGAAGAATGTTGTTGGTTCTGTTGGACATTTTGTTGAATCAATTTGTTGAATTGGTAAGTTTGGGAACTGAAATTATGGAAAGTTTTATGCAGAACTGAGGAAATGCCGAGCAATAAAATGATTTCATGGCTGCAACACCAACTTCTTGTGGTAATATATCAGTCATTTATTTACAGATGCAGTCTTAAAGTAACAGCTAGTCTTGTGAAATTCGGCTACTTCAAGCTCATGTGACGACCGTGGGATTGCTTCTATTATGTAAAATATTCGAAATGCATTCAACAACCGTGATTCCTACGAACATACTCATCTCTAGTTACTAAACTTACTTACAAGACAGCAACAAACCTAATAAAAATTCCAAAAGTCTAAAAAAATCCTCCAAATCTGATTCCATTCCCTCAATCACAGCAAAAAATCTACAAAGTGTCACTCAATTTTCTCATTTTCATATTGAAATTTTTCAAAATGTCATTCAAGTGTCAAATGATTTTTCTTTCCTTCACACATCCATTTTATATGTGTTGAATGTCATTTAAATCCAAAACATTTGCTCCTCAATAGATTCATTTCAATACTCTTTTGAATGTGTAGCGACAAGCATTAAAAAAATAGACGAAATGTATAAAAAAATATGTGGTAGAATTTAATTTGACAGGTTTCCGCACACATCTCACAAATTACGTCTATACATGTCTCTATATGTGGCGTAGCAACACTTTCATGTCGTGATTTTTATTTCATTGCGAATTTCAGAATCAAAAATTATATTTTTTTGTGTATGTGCTTCATGCTATTTGAGGAGCTTTCTGGGAAAAAAATCTCATTGAATTTACACACGTTGGTTATTATAATATGAGTTCTATTGATGCTGTTGTTGGCAAGCTTTGTTCACTTTTTACTGATGTTTTGCACAAAAAATAGAATTGAAAATGGAATGAAATGTCGAATTTTATTAATGTTGAGTTAAGGACTGAAATGACACGAAATGACACTCAGTTCTCTATTTTCAAGATTAAGTCAGTTGAGCAAGATACCAAATGCTCCTCAATCATTTTAGACTGTGACATAATAAGTCTAAACCAGTGCACTAGCTTTACAAACCTAGCTAGTGCACTAGCTTTACAAACCTAGCTAGTGCACTAATATGATACATTTATAAAAATTTGAATTTTTTTACGTCAAAATTCAACATCCTATCCACAAAAAAGCGCCATAATCATCATCAACCCCAAATTACTCCCTTACTTCAATTTATTTACGTCTATATGCTTTTCATCAAATTGCCAGTCAAAGCCTTTATTTTTCATAGAGAGTAAGTGTAATAAGATTTTATTTTCTTTCATGATTGTGGATGAAAAGGAAAACAGAACTGAAATGAACATAAATTACTTTTTTTTTCTCGTCTTCTTCATCCTTTCCTTCACTTTTATTTATTCCATTTCTACTTCAATTGTAAGTACTGCTTATTTTTTTGAGTGCAGCTTTGTATCACTTTTATGTCTTTTTGTGGAGAAAAATGAAATTTTTGTTTGATCAGTAAAAGTTGGAATTAGATCAAATGTTCAAGTTTGACGGGTTTCGCGGAGTTTCCCTTTTTTTTGTTGCTTCTTCGTTGCTCAATGTGAGTCTCTAAGGTCAAAAATCTAGTTTAAGGGGATTTTTTTATTTTAATCAGTTAAAGGTTTGTGGATTAAAGGCACTCCACTATCCTGAGCAACTCAACTTTGCACTGCTTTAGAACACAACAAACTACACAACAATAGAGACTGTAAATTATGAAATATCACAAGAACTTTAACCTCCAGCAACTGAACACTTTTCCTTTTGTTACAGAAAATTTCATTTTTATGACATTTTCTTGGAATTATCTTGAAATATAGCAACTAAGTGGTAATAAAACTGAGTACTAGTGCTGTAAAGCAAGTTGCCATAAATGATGAATAAATTTTTGCATCTTAAAATAGAGTTTATAGTTTGTAATTTATGTTGTGAACTGTGTCACCTATTGTGCTATGAGCATCTAGAACATTTTAAGTGGAATGAAGCAAGTGCAGTGACGTTTTGTTATAATTGTGCTTCTATGCTGGAATGCTTTTGAAGGAAAGTAGCATTCAGCTACTTTGTAGTCTGTCTTTGAAAACGACACCCGACTGTTGTCGTTGACATAGAATCCTTACATACACACTACAGAGCAATGCTGGAGAAATAACATCAAGTTAGCTGCGTAGACAGAATGATTTGAGTTTAGGTAGGGTCAACCTACTGAAAGCAGCGACAAATCCAACTCTCGAAAGAAAGAATCCGGGCTCTTTGGAGTCCTCTAGACATGGCAATTTCCCTAATCAATGAAATCACAAAAGTCCACCACAATTGTAACTTTACTAATCTAGTTTAAACTTGCATTACATTACATCCATTAATTTTAATTGTTCCAAAATGTAAATTCCGATTTCCTCATAATAAATCATCCACTAAATTAGTCAAATTAACAAACAATTGCAAAATGCATATTCATAGACTGACTGTTTATTAACAGATAATTGAATTAATATTTCAATAAGTAGCAGTTCCAGTTATAATTTAATTAAACAATAGATTTACATTTTAATTACCATCATGTCCAATTATCACTGTTGAGTACTTTCCGCATTGCTACCAGCTGTGTTAGTGACTGGAATTTGATAGATTTGCACTTCATTGTTTTGCTTTTGCATAGGAACTGTTCTTGGCGTGTCAATGCAAGTCATAATTAGTAATGAAATCGTTATGTTCATAACAGCCATTATGTATTGCGGTATCAACTGCCCATACTTTGCAAAATAGTCAATAAATGGTGAAATCATAACCAAAGTTCTCGAACAAGTCATTGCGGAGTAATTGCAGAGTCGCTTCTTATCTTTTGTGACAATTTCTGGATTGCATGTTATGAAAACAGCGAGACTTGTTGAAACTGTTGCTTTAGCAATGACAACAGTTATCATATAAATCACAATACGGTACATCGGTGGTACTGTGTATGGCACAAAAACTGCAGAGCATGCAACAAACGATGTTACAATATTCAATAAACTCATCCACATCCACTTCTTTGTGGTATATAAAATTAGATAGAGTGCTATAAGTGTACCGATTACTTCACATACTCCTATCATGACTGTATTTATTTGTAAATAATTCCTGCCCATGTCTCGAACATGCAGCAAATATGCAAAGTGAAGCATCAAGTAAATTGACCATCCCAAATGTGCAACAATTAATTTTCTTTTAAATGCAAAATTTCCATCCCAAAGATTCCACCATGATGGCTCCAGTGGTTCCTTTTTCGATTCAATTGACATCATTTCAAGTTTATGTCGGAGCTGCTCTTTTGAAATGTCATTTTTGCCATTAATTTTTGCTGCATCGAGCAGAACATTTAAGGCATCGTCAACTCGTTCATGTTTAATAAGCCATCGAGGTGAGTCCGGAATGAATGGATATAGAAACATTAAAATAAACGTCGGTAATGTTATGGCAACATAAACCAATGCCCAACTGCTCCACCAGCCGCCCACAAATGGCAAAAGTATCAATCCCAATGCCCAAAATTGTTCAAATTGGGATACGACAGTTGCTCGATATTTTCCCAATGTTATGTCTGACAATATCATTATACCGATACATTGTAAACTACATGTTCCAGCAACAGCAGCTCGAAAGAGAATATGTAAGAGGTATGTAGGTGCATAGCCAGTGGCAATGCCGAAGAAAATTTGTGAAATCATTCCGATCAGCATTGTTTCACGTGGACTTATCCTAATGAAAAGAGTGTGAGGAACAAAAAAAAAATAATATCATTAATTTATGGCTAGCAGGGATTATGTAGTATGCAGCATTATTGGAATCTTTAAGGAAATGAAATGGAATTTTCTAGAAATCTGTTGACTTTGATATTTTGGATGTGAATTTTGGAGTAAATTCTGTGTTCAATTGTGTGTATGCTTGGATGGAAAAGTTAAGGAACAGCAAAAATGTCAAGAACTGCAATTATTTACTGGTTTTATAGTTTCTACTTATTTAATTCGATAAAAAAAATTTGTGAATCAATTGATTTGGTATTCATGTCGAGATTATTTGAATCTAAAGAGCCTCATTTAAGGACAAAGACTATCAATGGACTCTTAAGAGCCTTATTAGTCTCATTTAACACTGAAAAATCTAATTACAACTCAAAGAGATTCATTAAGTTCCAAAATGAGATCGAAGTCATAAACATTTGGTTTTAAATCAATTAAAAACTTAACTTCATTCAATGAATTAAGCTATAATTAGCATTGAACTTACATCTTAAGTAAATGATTAGCAACAATTCCTCCAATCAAAACCCCTAAAAGATGAAAACTCTGTGTCAATGGCACGAGCCAATCACGATTGCAAAACGTGTCAAACTGATGAATTAATGAGAAGTAGTTATTTTCAATTACATGCTCGAATCTTGTGCATGACTCTAATGTGCCATTATCTCTGAAATTTCGACTTAAGAATCTATCAACAGAATTATTGTAAGTTGTGCAAAGGTCATAAGACACTTCATCCTCAATAATGCTGAATTGTTTCATGTGAGCAGCTTTAATCCAAAAGGATGTTGAATTTTCTATGGAAATGTTGTCTGGCTGATGACAGAATATTTCTCCAGGCTCTGGTGTTTTTGCTGTGAAGATGAGCTGGAATGAGTTTATTTTGACTTTAATCTGATTTATGGGAAACTTTTGGATTACTCACACAAGCCATAAACCTGGAAATACAGAGAAATAGTATGAATTAAATATCAAGGTTATTGTTTCGAATCGTCGATGCGTCAAAGCATTAACACTTGTCAAAACAATTCAGTTCATTAACATATCGGTATTTTGAACGTTACTATCACTAAAAGGTCTAAGAGCGTTGACTTTGAAACTGTGGCCATAAAAAATCTTTTGATCAAGCCGTATTTTTAGTAATTTTTTTAAAAGCCATTCCCACTAGAACCTGGCTAATCATCATTTCCTTGCATAAAGCTCACTGGTAAGCATCATACTAGTCCGCAAGTCTAGCAGATCATATTGTCATTATAAATTCAACAATCCTCACCATGCGGATGGAATTTTGACGAGATAGATGATAAAAGTAGCCCGCAGCTGCCATTTCCCGAACGGTCCTAGAAAATTTCCTATGAAATCAGTATCTGCCATTGTTCACTTGATTGTTATGTCTGTGAGATTTTTATTGACTTCAGTAATTAATGGGAATTTTCATTGATCCCACAAATTGTTCCAATGAACTTCAATAAATTCCGGAGAACTTCAGAACATTTCCAAGCACAACTTGTTCTTTCTCTATCGTCTCGTGATCAACTGCTGCTGACAGTCGTAGAAAATGAAGTTTTTTTTTCTCGTCACAACGTGAAATCATAATTAACAAAATTATCACTTTTTTTATCGACGCATTAATCCAATTAGCATTAAAATATTTACAATGACTTCATTTGAGAGACAGCTAGAAGTGATGCCTGTAATTTATGTGTTTTGTATTTATTTAATGTGCTAAATGCCGATCATGCATATGAAAATATTTGAGGTTTTTTAAGTGTTTTCTGAAGAATCGTTTTGGGGAATCTTACCTGCTTATACCTTCTTCTTTACATTGTATCCACAACTCTTATCAATTTTAATCCTCAAAATACTTTCAAGTATCAAAATTTTTAATAAAACATCTAAAGATTATGTTATTAAAAGCTTTAATATCAAAAACAGCTTCGACAAGAAAAAAACAACAAGCTTTGATGGTACTTTGTATCCAGGCAATGATTTAAGAATCTTTTAATGTTATTTTTCATAACAATTTCAGCTTCCAATGAACAAAACTTTACTTTATGATACAAAAGAAACAATGGAAATGTTTATACAGACAATGCTTTGACATATTTTGCTGTGACTTTGTGGATCTTAAGCATTATTAAAAGAAACATCGATGTAGCCAGAAGGATATGAATTCCAAAGAATTAGAATTAAATAAGTTTTTTTTTTTAAATTTTTTTATTTGTCATTTAAAGGTTATTTCCTGATCAATAAAGCGCTCAAGTCTATCCAAGAATAAACAGTGGGATGGCAAGTAATCTTAAAAGATGAGTAATTTGACTAACTGGTTCTGTTTCAGGATTTCCATTATCATCATTTCCAACAGTTTCAGCAATTGTTTCATCAAAAGGTGCTGGTGCTGCTAAAACCAATGACAATACAGCGAAGCAAATTATAAAAGTCTAGAAAGAGATTTAAAAAAAAATCAATTAGATTTTGTTCTTTATAATTCAAGGAAGTAAGTCTGAATTGGCTGTGAGATGATGTTAAGTTGTAAAATGATAGCTTTGGCATTTGCTTTTTTGCAATTTCTGTTCACACGATCAAGCACACTAAGCTAAGCACCTCACTTAGAAATCACACTAAGCTGAGCAGCTCTAAGCAGCTCTATCCACTTCCTACTTTTGATAGAATATTTAAACCAAGAACTTGAATTCGAGTCAAATTCAAAATTTGAAGCCAACTCCAAGTTAAAGACTCTTGACTTGTCTTCTAGCTTTATTCAAAAAATTCAAACTTACAACTAGAACTTTCATCTTTGTTTGATTATGACTTCCTTAAATAAATATAAACTTAAACTGAAACTGATCTAAGAATCGTCAGTGTTTATATACTGACGAATTTAAGACTCAGAATGAATTGAATCAGAACCAGAATTTCAAGAAAAGACGGTAAAAAATGGAATATTTGTGTTTATGGAAGTGAATATAAAATATTGCGTTAATTTGCATTTCGGATGAATAAAGTCAAGGCTCGAAAACAAAAATTAAGAGACGGTTTTTTAATGTGTTTGGGAATATTTGTATGGAATTTGTCAGTATTTCGGGATGTTTGTATAAACGTTGGCAGTATTTGGGAATTCACCTCCTTGTTTCCGAACCTGGAAATTAGGTGTGTAGAGCACGATCAAACGTCAAAGCATCTAATATATTGTATAAACTTTCACACATAAAAACGAAATATCATGCAACTGATTATCATAATACGTCTATCCATCAGAGATTATTGGGGTGAATCAATCAATGACGTCAAAAAGTTGAAATTTGGCAGAAAATGTCTTAAACATCAGAATTTCATGGAATTTCATTGTTTAGTTTTCAAAATTGACAATTTTCTTTTATACGTTATTTATGAACGAACCCTTAAAATTTTTCAATAAAACAAATCTTCAATAAAAGTTATTTAAAAACCATTTCACATTTTAATTTGTATCAGTTTCGTAGGATGGAAAAAAATTTAATCAAATTCAAAACTGAATGAAAAAAAAAACAAAAAAACAAGATACAAGGTGATTCACTAATTTGCAAAGCATCTTCATATGCTTATGCTAATGTATGAAAACTTCCATGTGGTTTCCCCATTGCTATTGCTTCAAAATTGAGTTTTAAGTTTTAAGCTCTTTTGAATTTCACAATGGAAATTAATTTTTACGGCAGTGAATCTAGAGCCGGTTTCATGAGCCTTTCGGGACACTCAAAGGGAGGAAATAAATTAGGAATATGATGCAACATGGAGATTCAATAAAATTGATCTGAGACTAGCTTAAGCATGTACAACCGGCCGCTGTTCAATAAAAGAAAAAAAGGAGAGTCTTAAGCTGTAAATGCTAAAGTTCGTAGAATAATAAATTATTCAGTTCAAAGAACTTTACAATAGCAACCTTCAAATACCAACAAGAACTCCAATTTTTCTTGCGCACATGCTGTAAACACACTCATCTCTCCTAAGATGCCAAGGATACGTTTCATTATTTCATTAAAAAAAGTCGCAATTTTCAAGAAATGCCTACACATAGACTCATTGATCTACAGCTTCGTGCTTATATTCGTAAACATCATTGGATGATGAGATACTTGAAATATTTTTTTTTCCATTCCTCATGAAACTTTTACATGTACTCGAGTATGTAGGATAATCAAATAATAGCAACAATAACAGGCAGTAGCAACAACATAGCTGAAAAATACTTCCGAAAAAAAACATGTTTGAATATTTTGCTGTCGACACTCTTGCAAATTCAACGATGCGGCAAAAAACGTGTGATGATGATAAAAAAATAAAACCATGGCGCGAAAATGAACATAAAAAATGATTAATTGTTTAATGAAAAGTTTTGTATTGTGTTTTTCAGTTACTTTTCGTCTTACATTCAGGATGGTGTTAAGCATCATGAGCTGTCTTTGGTGTCATTTGTTTCTATGCTTAATTAAATTGTTAAATATTTAACAAGTTTGAGATGAAATATTGATTAGATGTGATCATAAATAAAGTTTATCATAGACTTGTATTTTGGAATCATGACGACATTTTCGAATGGCTAAGAAGCGTAGCTATAGATTCTTTGAAAAGTGCAGAAGTCTTTTATGCAGAAAATAATTTGTAAGACATAATCTGCAAAGATCTTAGCTTGCAGTAATTTGATGATCGACTGTTCGAATCCTGACATTTCCAAAGTTTTGTGTTTACACGAAATTAAAGCTCTTAACCGGCTTCTTGAAAATTCAAATGTAGAGTTCACCTTTTAGTAATAAAATCTAGTTCCTGAGCAATGTTGGAATGAAGAATTGGCTAAAAACTTGAATTTCGCAATTAATTAGGATCGAGTGCTACTTTATAAGTTCAGATTTCACAGATTTATCGAATCTATCTTTTTATGACCTCTTAAAAACTCAATAATATATTCGCAAAGATAAAACATCTTAAACTTGTCTTAAACCACAAAATTCATTCTCTTAAATGACAAAAATAATAAAATTTGCATAAATGCTCTCGACATCTACAATCACCTTTAATTCATTCCAATATTATTTTTATTGTTCATATAAAATTTGAAATGCAATGCAATTAAGAAAATTTTATTGCAACAATTTAGTTCCATTTGAAGACAGAAGAGACAAGCTTAAAATATTCATAAGAACAATTTCTTTCCATTAAAATATTTCATAATATATTTTGATTAAAATCCTCTTGTCTGTGAAAATTCATCATCAAATTTCTACAATATATTTATTCAGGAAAATCTTCAATCCTTCGTCATGTATGCACCCGGAATAGTCTACCTCGAAACATCACAAAACCGGATTTTAAATTATTTTATGCAAATGAGGAATTGTAATTTAAAGTATTCGGTTCCTTTTCACATCATTTGACATTTCTCGCTTAGTTTTTCCTCTGAATATTCATCAGTCATCGTTCGTTCCAATGCTCACAATTGATGTATGCTTGTGTGTTTTTTGATGGGTGGAAGATGAAAGATTTTCCTAAAATCTCTTTGATCCTTTATTGACTTTTTCCTCTTTGTTGTGTGCCTACATGTGTGTGAATGTTTGCCGTATGGATGTGTACGAACAGATCATGAATGGGTGTAACTGTATGTATCCTTTAACTTGATAACAATTGAGGCGAGAAATTCACACAAAAGCTTACAATAATTGCTTTTTAGCTTGAATTTCTTTGTGATTTGAATGTTGGAGTTAGATTTTGACTTGATGTCAACGGATGTCTGCATAGATTTTGGTATATTTGACTTATCTTTGAGGATTGCTTTGTTGTGGATGTCAAGACCATGAAGACACTTAACCTTGAACATTATTTGGCTAAGAGATGATTTTGCTGGAAGTAGGCTCAGTTTCATTGACTTCACGGACCACTTACCTAATCTTAGAGAAGATTGCAAAATTGCTCTAAGAATCCAACACTAGAAATATCCTAAACCTTTACTCCCATGCCAATGACCATACAAAGTTACTTCCACACACACAAACCAATAATACTCAATATCATCTCCAACATTTTCTCGCTTCCTTTGTCAAATAACACGAGGAATTTTTTTTATTTCCATCAATGTAAATTCAATATACCTCCGACAAATAAGAAGAATTGACATGACATGGCCGACTCTCGTGCAATCGCTAACGGTACCAAAAAATAACAAAAGGATGAAGAATGAAATGAAAGACGGGCAAAAATTGAATTAAAGCTGTTACATGAAGCAAACTGAAATCGAAAATGGAAATTTTATTTTTATCTCTTCTCGTTCGCCAATTGTCGTGATTTGTTTGGATTCGATGCATGGAGCAACAAGGAGATCGAAAAAAAAACACGTTTTTGTAATTTGGATTGTCGAGTTTCAGTACTATTGACATTATTAACATCCAATTATTGTCTATTACAATAGTCGTCTTGAGGATGCTATGAATGGGCATTTGGATGTACAAAGGACATTGATTGGTGATGGCTAGAAATAGCTAGGGACAGTATCAAACTGATTTTCTGGCTTAAAGCAGTGACAGAAGACCAGATTGTAATTTTT